CAATTTCTTATCTTGTAAATAAGTAAAAGAACATTTTTTATTAGATTAATTCCGATTCTGATTCGAAGCAGGCATCAGTAATTGCAATAACGATTTTGATCATTTTCTCTGTTTCGGGCAAATTCGGGTAGCTAAAATTGGCGTTGAATTAAAGTTTAATGTGCCCTAAATTAATATACAAAAAATCATCGAGGTATTTTTTGGTATTTTTTATTAAACTCAATTCAAAGTTGATGATCATTTAACATACAAAATTGGGACCAATTGTTAATATTGTAAAAGGAATGTTTAGTAGTTTGGAAGGTACTATAATAGTGTACCCAACTTGCAAAAATTAAATTAAAAACACAAATTTTCGGTAAATGACACATGTTTAAGAAAATGCACCGAAAATTGCAATAAATTTCTGGCATCATTTTCCACAACAAATTGGCAAATTCAGTAAAAGTTATGGATAGTGTTAAAATCTACGTTCTTTTATTAACATTTTAGGATATAAGAATTTATGAAACATCAACTTTAGTTTTTTGACTTTTGTCCATTGCTGGACACACTGTACGACGTGGGAAAAGTAGCAAGTAGGATACCAAACTAGATAACTGTAGGTGATAATTATAAGATAGTTATTGAAAATATTATTTTCCAACGATTGGGTGGTGCAATTCAGGATAGAAACTAAATGAAAAAATACTATTTGACTATCAGTCTTTACGTGAACAAAAAAGACCCAATGTTTATGAAATTAAATTTAGTCATATTTACTCTGAGAAAAATAAGATATACAAAAATGATGACAGTATAAAAACTGTACGACGTGGGAAAATAGCAAGTAGGATATCAAACTATCTACTGCAGGTGACAATTATAAGATAGTTATTGAAAATATTATTTTCTAGCGATTGGGTGGTGCAATCCAGGATAGAAACTAAATGAAAAAATATTCTTTGACTATCAGTCTTTACGTGAGCAAAAGAGACCCAATGTTTGTGAAATGAAATTTAGTTTTCTAGTCATATTTACTCTGACAAAAATAAAATATACAAAAATTATGACAGTATAAAAACTGTACGATGTGGGGAAATAGTAGGATATCAAACTATCCACTGCAGATGACGATTATAAGATAGTTATAAGCTTCATTCCTGTTTAAACGCTCATGGTTCGGAATTGCTCCTGAAAGTAAATTCCGAAACCGATGCTCAAATGCTACAATTCGATTTACATACACTTGAATCCTGGTGTAGAGTCAATAACCTCGAATTCAATATGTCCGATTACCATGTACGAAATGAGATTCTCCCGTAACACTAGCAGCCATTCCTATTTCTATGCCATCGATGGCGTTTCTCTCATCAGCCCCAATAAGGCAACCGATCCGAGCGTTTAACAGTCAATTCGCATTGTCGATGGAATATTTAATTTAAAATCAGTAAAAATAGATTATAGATTTTATTCACTTTTTCTGACTTATTGTACCTTTTATAACTTTTACGCGTTCTCAACTGGAATATGCGAGCGTCATATGGTCTCCGCAGATCAAATATCGTATTTTATTAGAAAGACGAGAAATCGCTCCATTCACGCAACGCTCATGCTCAGCAGAAAATATTATAATCCTGTGTTGCATAATGTGCCCCGATCGAGATCCCGAACCGGAAATTTTTATACATTTTTTGGAGTCTTTATTATTTACAGCGAGATTTAATGAATTTACATACGTACGAATAACCAAAAAGTAATTTCTTCTTTGAAGAGTAGAATAAAATTCCTGCAGCAGAGAGATAGCAACGCTGTTTTAAACGCTTTCGTATTAGAGGGGCCGCCTAAGGCTAGTGGAAATTAGGCAAAAGGGTCGAACATAAATTTCTGTGGCTGGGTTTATGCACGCGACGGAACATTATTATAATTTTAACTTCCGTGGACTCGATACGCAAACACTGAAAGCTCCTAGTAAATTCTCCGATACCATCTTGCTTTATAAAAATCTTCACGATCGAATAAATTGTGCTGTTATCTTCCTGTTAATTAAACTTAACGCTCTAGACTCCTTCGTAATAATTTCTTTACTCAGCATTCAGGTGTTTATTTAGAAATATTTTAATAAAGTAATATATTGAATAGTTCTTATAATTAATTATTTTCTTATTTATAGACGATTTAAGTTTGACACGAGATAGAGTTTAAGCTTGGCAGAGTGTTTAACATCGTTCTGTTCTGTGTGTAAAGGATCAAACTCCGATCGAAGCGATAATTTCGTCGGCTCTACGTACTTGATTCTACGCACTTGTCCTAATGACGACACCGAGCACCGCTTACGGTACACCTAATTACCGTGCGCGATTAGCGTGGCAATATATACATATATATCGTGCGATCCGATTGGATTGTTCGGTGTGTGATTACTGCTGTAACCTCGTGCATCACGATCTCCATCGATGTCGTTATTGCCAAGCGAGAAACAGCGAAACAGAACTTTTTCGTATGTTTTCTCTCCGTTTCTCTTCCTTTTTTCCCCCCAATACTGTTTTCGATATTTTATAGCTTTTTAGTTGTTAACAAATATAACAAAGTACAAAATGCTGTACGAATGTTTGCACAACACGCTATCCTTTTTTTTGTTTGCTTTATAACTCCGGCTAATAAATTGTAAACTACAGTATTTTGTATTTTTTGGAGTTATCTTCCTATGTTTTTTTGTACACCGGGGTACGAAATAACAGAAAAAGAGTTATTCGACTCTGGTTTAAAAAATATAAGGAGTGATTTATTTAATTCAACCACGGTAGATCAAAGTATATGTTAAAATAAATGAAATGCCTCTTTGGCATTAATGGAATGAAATTATATGGATTTTTATGATTTTATTAAAAATTGTAGATCAGGCTGTCGAATATAGCATGTAACAGTCTTGTAAATTTCCATTTTTAACTTTCACTATCGTAATTAGCGTTATAGTAGGGACAATTGACTGCTTAGAGAAGAATATTTGCTGTTGGCTAGTGCAATTAGTCGCGAGAGATCTTCGTTTGTAATATTTTTACATGTTACGTGTGATCGACGTTCCAATTTCGTGCTTTTCAAAACAATGATGGAGTTTGGTGAGCAGTAGACGAGCGATTAGCGTTCGACGATGACGATAACTAGGGCTGGTGCCCCGCGATGAATCGCAAGAAGTCGATAAGCTACGCGGCGTTGGAGAATACACTTCGTCGAGGCTTAATTTCCGCGGTGCAAAAGACAATCGATGTACAAGGATAGACGTTAATAACGCCCGTCGAACTTCCGCGGGAGGGTGTGCAATTATGTTGACAACTATTTTGAAAACTTCGATAGCCCGGGAAACTCGTCCGACGAAGTTCTCCCAGCTACTGGAAACTTTCGGAAAATTGCGACTCGCGTCCTGACAAGGAGGGCTCGTTCCTGTCTTGTAAGAGATTATCCTACCCTTCGATCGTTCCCATAATTTCCATTAAACGTCCGCGATACTGTGACGACAATCCAAGGTTTTGGTTCTTTCAACGTTACGGGGGCGTCAGAGAATCCTATTTCATTACTAATTTAAGTCACTTGGGAATACTTCGACGAAACGTCAATTGTTATTTTTCGAAAATAATAAAAATACGTTTGTTTTTAGGTAAATACAAAATTTGGTTAGATTTGTTTGTTCCAAAGACGATCACAAACTGGGGAATTGAAATTTTATTAGGCTGTATGATTCGTTGCTTGATAAATTTCAGTCTCTAAATAATTCTTATGGGTTAGGTCTGGGTTAGAAGTGCAAATTGGAGGATCGAAATTTTATGAGGCTGTCAGATTCGTCGTTTGACAAATTTCAGTCTTTAAATAATTCTTATGGGTTAGGTCTGGGTTAGTAGGGCAAATTGGAGGATCGAAATTTTATTGGGCTGCCAGATTCGTTGTTTGACAAATTTTAATCTCTAAATAATTCTTATGGGTTAGGTCTGGGTTAAGAGGGCAAATTGGAGGATCGAAATTTTATTCAGCTGCCAGATTCGTTGCTTGATAAATTTCAGTCTTTAAATAATTCTTATGGATTAGGTCTGGGTTAGAAGTGCAAATTGGAGGATCGAAATTTTATGAGGCTGTCAGATTCGTCGTTTGACAAATTTCAGTCTTTAAATAATTCTTATGGGTTAGGTCTGGGTTAGAAGTGCAAATTGGAGGATCGAAATTTTATTAGGCTGTATGATTCGTTGCTTGACAAATTTCAGTCTTTAAACAATTCTTATGGGTTAAAACTATGAATCTTTCAGCAGTTTATGCAAGCATGTCTTCGTTTCATCGAGGTCTGTTCACGATGCATTCTTGATCGAAGCGTGGATGGTAGACGCTGCAATATTCGCGGAGCCACGCGTGTCGATTGCGTCGTGACGCTGAACGTTGACGGGGCAACAGCCCGTCATAGGCAGCAGGAGCGCGACACATGCGTCGCGACGTCGGCTCCGAATGTATATTAACCGCTTATCCACTTCCCCCGTGTCACTGGATTGCGACGTTTACGCCTCGGGGGCTTCAAACAGTTGGAATTCTCCCTGGAGGCTGAAAAACTTCGTCGATAACAAGATAGGGATTTATGAGAACCGAGATAATCCGACCCAGACGTCGATCCTAGGCGTCTATCCGTGTCAGGGTGTCTTCAACGAGGCGTTTTTGAGTCTACGAACAGTTGGAGGTGTTGAGCTCGGGCACGATTAATTTTAAAGACAGGGAAGACAACATGGAAAATGATATAACTGGAGTTCTTGATATCGATAAGAAAGAAAATGGAAAAGTAACGATGAAACGAACCCTCGAGGCAGGATGCAGAGAGAATAGGAAGTCATAGATAAATGAAAAGGAAAGCTATCGAACTAACGCGAAATTTTAGAGAAATTGAGAACATAGAGAGATTTTAATTAAATTACTTGATCGTTCTTTGATCGTGATTACGAATAGAAGGTGTAATGAAAAAACGTTGGAAAGTAAAATAAGGTTTATTATCAGGCCAGAGTGTCGGAGTACAAGTTAAATAATAGTAGTTTTAACAATGAGAAAGGGCAAGAGTAAGCAACGTCGCAGGGAGCCTTGTTTCTATAAGCAGCGTCGTAGTGATCAGTTTTGGCTACATTCTCGACGTTTCTGCAACGAAAAATTGCAAATGCATAATTTGACAATTAAAACGAGCTTTGGAATACGATTGTTGGTACCTTAAAATTAGTCGAATGGCGTCTTCGATGAACGAAACTCCTGGTGGGCTCAGTAACGTTCTCGCCTCGCATATCGTCCTTAAAACGCACTCTCGTCCCGGCAAATTTTGACTGAAACAAGTTTCTTTCCATGTTTGTTTTTTTCCCCCAAGAATTTGTACAATCAATATCACTTACCTGTCCAAAGCCTCCTCGAAATTAGCGTACAGTTCTCGACGATGTCGTCGCTTGATCCACGATTGTTTCTTGAAGAAATATTTCTTTTTGTAGCTCTTGTAGTTGTCTTGGGTCGGTATAGGCCAGATAGAATCAAACTCGAAATCCAGATACCAGTTGCTGGGCAGTGGAAGTTGAATCGATTGCAGAGTGGACAGAGTCATCTAAATGAAAAAAAAAACACTGGAATCTCTTCAAGAGTTTTTCAAAAATTGCAATATAGGGCGATTCTAGGATCTGAGACAATCTGTAACGAGTTAATAACACTTTTCTATATCATCAATTGTTTTGGCCGCGAATCACTATGCCCAAATGCTTTACTGCGCGGACCGTGCGTATTACACAGCTCTTTACTGTGTTCCTTTTCCTTGTGCTCGAAGGACCACCCAAACTGGTGTTTTTAGTTACTCTTCTTAGTTGCACAAGAATATTTCTAGGTTTGTGGAGAATCGACTCGAGGTTGTAAGGCTCGATCAAACGAATCTAATTCCAAAACCTAATGATACCCTTAACCTAACTTCGGCTCTCCCTACCAAGGTAACGAAAACGCGTAGTGCTAACCGGTGGGAGGATTGGTCAATCCTTAAAGTCGTTATCTTGGCAGGGCGTTTCTTGCCGTTTGCAACATTCCCGTCCACTTAGCTGTCCAGTGTCCAGGTACATCATGCAAGGGTGAAACGTTGCTCCTTTTTAAATAAACAATTTGGGGAAAGTCAAAGTCCCCAAGAGCCCGGTGGTCTGCAGCTATGCGCTACCGCGGGTTTACGATACGTCAATCGCTATTGAGGCAAGGAAGAGCTCCAAGGATTCCAAGTCCCGTGTGGAGTTTGGAGGTTCCTCAATGATCGTATCCTAATTTGTCAAGTAAAAATGTCTCGAAGTCCTAATCCTCAAAAATAGCAGAGAAGTCACGTCCGTATCACAAAACCCTGCGAAATTAAGGTTCCTTTAGAATCCTTAACATCAATATCTTTGAAAATACTCAGCTGTCAATACTCGTCTGTTCCGTTTCATTAGATTCTCGAATCACACGTCAAAACAATTTTTTCCCCCTTCAAATCATACTGCAGAGAATTTAATATTTTTTGAAAACTGCATCCTCGAGGACTCTTTGCTCTACCAATCTTTCGTATCAATATAGAGCGATTATAGGAACTGAGACAATTTGTAACAAATTAATAACACTTTTCTATAAAATATTCAGCTGGCACTGCTCGTGTGCTCCGTTTCATTAGATTTTCGAATCATAGGTCAAAATAATTTTTGCAAATCATACTGCAGGGGATTTAAAGTCGAAACATTTATATCTACCGAAGTTGTTTAAAAACTCCATTCTCGAGGACTCTTTCGTATCATCTTTTAGAGAAAAGTTTATAGAATCGTGGACACTCGTAAACGGCACACCGCGTCGATTCACTATTATTCTCACTCGGAAGTAGTTCAGCAACCCTTTATCTTTCTTTGTCCGACACTCGACGGAACACCCGAGAGATCGTCATCTCCAGCGAGCAGTCGATTCTCGTTGGAATTAACCGCGGTCCGGTCTCCGGGACGGGCACTCGCGCGGTCGTCGAAGACGCACTTACCACGAAAGTGCTGCCCTTTGGAAACGTCAGCCTCCTGCGTCTGGAAAGGGTCTCCGTCGACCTTTGACCGAGGATGGTTAAGACGGTGTCGTTACGGTGACACCCGACGTCCCCGAGGGCCAGCTGCTCCAGGTTCAGGATCTTGGCAAGAATCAGAACGAGCCACGGGGCTCTCATTTCTCGGAATCACCGGACTGATATCAGCCGTCTCGCGGAACGAAAGACTTCACACCTCTCCTGGGAGCCGGCGACCGGGGAAGTTTTTCGGAATAGCCAGAAACATCTTTCGCCGTTACGCCCGTTCGCATTTCGTTCGCGAACTGTCCGCCACGGTCACACCAACGGACATTCACTCGATCGTAGCTGTTTGGCCATCGAATTATCGAGCCTGCCGTGGAAAAACCCTTCGTTGACTCTTGTGATCAGATACTCGAGCCAAGCTTGTTATATAATCGTGTTAGAAACTCAGCCATGAGCGTATTTCGGGGCTTAGAAGCTATTTCTGTCGGTCGTTAACACGTTCCTTGCGACTCTCATTCCCCCTCGTATTTAGTCAATCCATAAGGTATTTTTTGGGAAATTTCGAAACGATGCAAATGTAACTCATTTTACCATTTCAATCGATTTTACATTCGGTATTTACAGTTTGCATTCCGTTCAGGTAAAAGGACTCTGAAAAACACGGAACACGCCATTTGTACTTTGCGTCGATATCCATTTTTTTAAATCTTGCGTTACGAAATAAGGTTCGAATCAATCCTGTACGTGGATCAGAACGCAAATGAACGGAAACCGAGAGAATCTGCTCGTGAGTTTTACAGTTTTCGCGGTTCGATCGGTCGCGTCGTCGAGGAGAACGACTTCTTCGAGTCCGAATTCTCGGCGTTTCCGAAGGATTCTAGAAAGGAACGCCGCCTTCCATCCACGGAACGTGGCGTGGGCCGCGACTATGCAGGGATCACGGTGTCCCTAAATTTCGCAAATCTCTCGAAATATATGCGACGGCGACGTTTCCGCGTTATCCAATTTCTAGGGATCCTGACCATTCTCGTGGCTTCCATCCACGATGTAATTTCATTTTGGGCTTTCCCATCGACTCCTCGTCCGTTACCCACCCTCGGTTCCCTCCCTTCCTTTTTCACCGCCCTATCCTTACAAGTAAAGACATCGTCGGATAGTTCCTGTGAGGAGCGGAGGAATGATTTATCGAACATCCGGACACGAACTGATTTCGCTCGTCCGTACCTGCCCGATGGCCCTTAATTAAACGGGTCGCTGCATTTTAAACGGGGACAGGGAATTCCCGAAATTACGGCCGGCCAATACTTTCCCGAATAAATGAATCCTTGATGCCCTCGGCATAGCGTGAGTCTCGTTCACGGACCGACTGTAATCCCGACCGGAACTTCGACGCCGTGAATTATAGCGTAATACCAGGTTGGTCACGTTGCTACTCTAAAAATGAAACAAGTTCGCCAGATCGATCGCACAAAATCGCTTTTTTACATTTACAAATCCGTTACTTGATATATGATTATTTCTTTTTATAACCGAGAATCTGTTTGACTTTTAAAATTCAATTATAGCTCGATTTTGCACAAAATTACCGATATTAGAAGTGTACATAGTTGAGTACTTGTGAGAAAGGTACAAGTTGAGCGTAGCCCTCTGCTGGCGAGTGCGAGAAGCACCTCCACAAAATAGATTCTTATCGAATGCAATGATTTTTATCCTTTTTTCAAGGTTCAACGCGTTAAATGTTTCTTTCTTGCACTTACCAACGAGTATTAAGGGCTTCCTGGGTTCTGCAACGCATCATTTATAATACTTTTCGCGAGAAAAGACGAAGAACCGTGAAATACATATGCATTGTAGAGTCGAGAGTTACGTAGAGCGTCGTAGATCGTTTCGGAGGACACGCCATTTAGAATCCGCGATCTGGGAATCGACGTTGGGCCGCGTTAATGATGCAAACGGAAGCCTCAGCCGACGTTCTCAAAGAGAGAATTGCTCCATAGTGTGTGCACGTGCAAACACTAGAAGGCGAGATACGCGTATCCGCGACCAAAATACACACTACAACCCGCAATCTCCGGAAGGATGCGCGTTAGAGGGTGTACCGTGTATTATTCCAGTAACCACGCGATATTATTGCAAGACTAATGAATCCATTGATAGCGTTTACTCGACAGATGGTGTAACTCCTGCGCGCGAGCCTTCATTTATTTATTTGCTCAAACGAACGAGAACGTACGCCGTTGATTAGAATAATCAAATCCAATTGCGTGCTGGTATTTAGAATATATATTTCTGTACTAAATCAACAAAGAATACGATAGGCTCGGATACGAGGAAATCAATAATGGCACGATTTTATCAATCAACGTGTCTTCATTCGTTTATTAACAGTTTCGAAGATGTGGCCGATGAATATGAGTAAAATATTGAAAGTCACATTAATATATTTAATTCGAGGTTATTGCCCCAGCATCGACAAAATAAATAAATAGTACGATAGGTTTGGGTACGAGGAAATCAATAATGCCACGATTTTATGAATCAACGTGTCTTTATTCGTTTATTAACAGTTTCGAAGATGCGGTCGAAGAATATGAGTAAATTATTAAAAGTCACATTAATATATTTAATTCGAGGTTATTGCCCCAACACTTACAAAATAGGATTTTGTCATTCAATCTAACAATCGATCGTCCTTCCATTAGTCGCAGTTATTCGGAGTGCATCCCGGAAACGCTGTTTCCGGCATTAAACATCTCAGATTGGAAACAGCGAAACGGATGGCAACGAAACATTCGACGCTAGACGACATTCGACTTCCGCTTAAAGCGTTCGATAACATATTAATTTTGTAATCGTTCGGAGATAAACGTTGCAAAGGATATAAAACGCGCGTTTAATAAAAAGGAAACGCAAAGAGAACTCCTCGTGAATAATAGACAAATGTTCGCTTTCGTTCGAGTCTGTTAATAATGCCGCGAATTGATAAAGCACCGTCGCTAGTCAAACCACCGCGGGAAACTTAACTCGAGTGCTTTCGTGGGATTTTCCCGCGCACCGAGATTTCTATAGTTCGGAAAATTAAGAAGAAGGAGTCCGTTTAGAAGACGTCTGAACACCTATCTTCCATTTCGTCGCACTTCTCTCGCCGGAAATAAGCTCTCTCGTACTCGGTCACTCTGTCCGTGTCCTCGAAAGTCCCAGGTAATCTGAAGCGTGGATAACGTGGTTAAACAACAACGTGGGAACTAAAAGTAATGTGGGTGGCCAAATTGTTAGTTTAGCTTATCATTTAATATAAGAAATATTTCAAATAAGATACGAATAATTATATTTGCAAAGCTCCCAAAATCTCATACAAGCTTTGGATTATGGAATAACAGAAACTCGCAAGCAAAGGTTCGTAAAATTTAATTTCACATTATCGACTCTTCGCGTAAAATCACCCGATGCCAGTTTTATTAGAAAAGTTCAAATAACCAACAGAGTAGAATGCGGGCAATATGTAACGCCAGGAAACGTTCAATTACATAGCCCGAAAGTTTCATCAAAATCTTAGACCCGAAGTTTGGCACCTTCCCTTTGTAACTGGCGCAACATCGTCCGAGCGTCGAAGAAAGCGAGAATTTACTTCGACAAAGCGAAGTCGTAGACGGACGATGTAATCATCAAAGAAGATAGCTTGTTATGTAAATTTTCCAGGGCGAAACTTCGCGACGAGTAACGAAACGGCGAGTTTTAAACGGGCAGGCATCCCGGTAAATTCTCATCGTTCTTTCGTCCAACTTTATCCCACGGAACGAAGTACCGACGATCGTTCGAAGTATCTAAAAATACGCTGAACCTCGATCGCGTTGCTCGCGATTCACCGGCGTTATTAATTATCGAAGCGCGAACGCCTTCGAACTTTCCGTTCGATGAACAATACCCTTTCGTGGAAGTGGTAACTCGCGATTCTTCGAGCGAGCTGCGAACTTTCTTGAACGGTTATTAAAACGGAGGGAAAAGTTGTCGAAAGGAATTCCCGCGGACCTGGCAGACCGACGACGTTAAGCGTCACGGTCGTATGTCATGAATAAATTCAACGCGTTATCGAGAAAGTGTAACGCGAACGCGGCTCGTTCTAAAGTCGCTTCGCTCGGGAGCCACTTCGTCGTACTGCGGACACGACGACATTTTGATGACAGTTGTACCCCCCGACGATCCCTCTATTTCGCTTCTTTCTATCGCCCGCTTCCGTCTTCTTGTTTCTTTTGAGGTTTCAAGTTATTCCCACACCATCCTGTGATATACAAAGCTACTATCGTTAAACAGTGTTTTGTTGGACGACCAATAGGCCAAATATCGATACGTCATCGTCTGTTAGTCACAAGGTCTAAGGGTCCTCCTCCCCTACTATTGCTAAGACATATACAAGGTGGATCACCTAAGTAAGGTCACCTAAATATTTTCTCTAATTGTGGGTGTGTAACAAATATTTTGAATGCTATTTGAATGATTTGAAAAAACCATTATGTTGCAAAAATATTTTTTTCCAATGTAATTTTTTTAACATTATACAAGGTTATTAATGTTTTATGCGTATAATTGTATAATTATTATTATTGCAACGTGAAGCTGATGTAAAAATACGTTCATATACGTACATTACGTGACCTTGAAATGACCTTTGAGTTCAAAATTAAATGGAAACGAAATATTTGTTGTCTATCGAGACTTTAGAGGCGAAGGCGTCGTGCAGGAATTGCTAAATGTAAATTAAACATATTTTATATTACGAAACAACATTATGAAATTTATGATACTTTATAATTTCAAACTGCCATTGTAATAATGGCATAATTACCAAACTACCATTGTAATAATGCGAAATGGTGTCCCTCCACATAGATACATCTTTTTAAACGTAGAATAAGAGACTCTGTGACAAGCTGTCATTATTCTGTCTTTTACGTTCTCTAGCGTTGTTAGTTGTTCACCATCGACATCTTCAGAAAAATTTCTTTCAGTACATTCGAAGAGTTTGCCTTATTATTCTTTTCTTTTCTTTTTCTTTTGCTTTGAGTAACTTATTGCAAATGATAATATCGATAAACTGAGGAATTGTTTAAAAATGATCAAACTTGTGTGATGTCAAAAGCCATTCGTAGTATCATAGTAAGCATGTTTATTTATACTTACAGATTTTTACACGACGTTTTCGTTTCAAAGGCCCGGCTGGCAAAAATTTTTCGTTTCTATTTAATTTTTGAACTCAAAGGTTATTTCAAGGTCATGTAATGTACGTAGATGAACGTAATTTTTATACGCAAAAAACATCAATAACCTTATAATTTGTGAAAAAAATTACATTAGAAAAAAATATTTTTTACAATATAATAAGTTATTCTTCATAGTTGAGTTCGGCGTGAGTTCAACGTAATTGAATAAACTCTTATAATACAAAAAGAGCATTACTTGACCACCCGGATTCCAACAGTTTACTGCTAAATTCTATTACGAATTTATATTTAATACAATTTAATCAACTTACTCTTTGAATACTGTCAAACGTTTCCGACTAATTTTTTGTAGAACGAATAACAAATCGAAATATTAGATTTTTTTGTATTTCATTCCTGAATAAAATTTGCTCGACTCTGTGAGGTTTCACGAAAGAGACCACTTCAATCAGCTACTTTTCAAGTAAATTAGTTTTCACTTAATCAATCGACGTTCGATTAATCATCATTCCCCACTTCAATCTTCGAACTCGAGCTAGATCAGTCCCTTCGCTAGACATTGTTCATTCTTGTTTTTCTTTACGTTAACGAACGGTTCGATCAGTCCGCGTTTTCCATTCGAATCATTATTTTCTCACGATTCAATTTTCCATTAATCCCCTTGCCAGTTGCCAATTGATTAATCAATAACTGGGACGAGGGGTTTCAGATAGTAATTGTCAGACGCGAACATGGCGTATTGAATGACAATTTTCTCGTAAGATAAATATTTTTAAGTCTGGATTAAGAGGGTATTGAAATTGGACAAGTTGAAAGAATCTCTTTTTACTAAAAAATTACATAAAATTCATATTTTTTTGCACCGAGACACTTCCACTGCTAATACACGTGTAATTGTTGGTGCAATTAAGAATGTAGTGATTCTAAACGAAGTAACGTATTAAAAATATACAATAAAACTTTTACATACGACACTTTTTATCCGAGAAAATTGATTTACAAAATTCATAAGGTACAACATGGATAGAGTGTCTAACCATTTCTTGTTATTTCTACTTACGTTGGTATTTTTGAACATCGATCGTGGTATTACCTGTTTGTCGTTGATTTTACAGCTCCCTAAATATAATAATCTGAACTACTCGAAACAAATAATACCGTATCAACGTCAGCAGTGCTCACAAACAACAACGCAAGTAGAAATGCCTGATAATGGTCGGACATGTCAGACAAATAAAGAAATTACTTAACGCCTCTGTACTATTACTTAAAAATACATAATTTACTAATAATTTCAGTTGATAATTATCAGATATTTGGATGGAAACATAAAGTCTGGGTTGCTTTGCGAGTTGGGTCTCGTCTCAGGAATAATAATTCCGTTTCTCGATTTAGAGATACTCACGTGAACACAGCGTGCAGAATCTCCTCGAAGAAGGTGGCTCTACCAATTTCTGTTTGACTTCTGGCGGCAGCCCTGCAGATTGCCTTGAGAACGCAGGCCCTTCCGTCCTTGCCCTGACTTCGCAAGAGAATACGTTAGTTAGAGGGGCGCGGTACCGAGATCGTTTATCACTATCATCCTCGTTATCGTCGTCAGGCTGTTCGTGAGTCGGCGGTCTATTCATTAAGTTCGCGATAATAGCGTCGAGCGTTGATACCGGCGAGTGGTTCGGTGTAAACCGACGAAGGTTTACAAGGACCCACTCCGCCCTTTCCAGCAAGCCCCGTACCCAGTCCCCGCCGGTTACCTCGGGAACCAAACACTGGCAATTATGGAGTACGATGCTCCGCTATCAGGATTGGAATAATGCAATTGCCGTGTTTCATTGCGAACAGGAAATCCGCGGAGCAATCATGGGAGACGCGTTCGAAAGCAACACGATCTCTTTTACCGTGCTTCGCGGGAACGATACCCCCAGATAGGAATATAACGGAAACAATAATGAAATAAACAGTAATCTTCCCACTGTCAATTCTTCCGTTTTAAGAAAACAAAACGAAGCGTATCCGTTGAAAGTTTCATTCGTTAAATAAATAAACGGAGAACTTTTCCTTCTCCCAATGCAGAGTAAAAGTTCCAGTTAAACAGGAACGCCCAAGTTTCGACGATGGAGTCGAACGAATGATACCAACGAGAAAACTAATTAAGCTAGGGATTAAGGCTAGCTGTTGTATCTCATTCACTGTCCTCTTCGAGTAGCCAGTTTTGTGTTCAACTTTCAAGAATTCTCTATAATTAACCGTTCCTGAATTTTGGACATAACGCGATACTCTGTTAGAAAATCTGCTGTTGTAGGAGTCGGAGCTATCGATGTTACTGTTTTCCTGAATTACTTCACGGTTCTTCGACCAAAACTTTGAGCTACTTGGAGGTACCGCGCGCATTCAGTTAAGAAGCCGCAGACGGAACAATGGCGAACGATTAACGCGATGAAGTAACTGCATAGCGCGCAAACCATCGCGAGATATCTGGGTCTATGGTGTCCTCGACAGTTTACGAAGAACGCTCGTGCAATTCCCGAGCAAAAGAGTCGCTTAGATCTACGCGGGACGTCGCACAGTTGGACGGAACGCGTTCGCAATAAAAATAAATTACCGCCATTCTTTAAAATCTCTACGTAAAACGTAATTAGTTTTAGCTTTTGTGCACTTGAAACTGCCAAGTTAACGAACTAACGACTGAACGGCTTCATTTTTCTGCATCTACGTATACTAGAGTTCCGATTATTTACTCCGGCTATTCTTCGATAAATGTTACGGATTATATTTCACACAAACGAAGAAATCACAGTTGCATGCATCCAACAGTGACGTCGATACTAAACAGTTGACGGATAAAGCGTAGGAATTTTATATATTTTATGTTTTATTAATAAATTACTAGATTATCCATGGTTGTGTTTATTAAAAATCAAACGCGAAATTCTAAGAAAAATCGACAGGTGCTGCAATTTTTCAAAGAAATTAACAAATTTCAAATCGTTCTAAAAAAATTATTTTCGGTTTTGGGGGTCAATTACAATCATTTTTGGTCAAAAAACATACCCCCGAAATCCTATTCAGTTTCGAGAAAAAAATTCCTTAGTGAAAATATAATTTCAGATCAGACATATTGCCCTGAAATTTCCTCCTGAACGGATTGGACGATTTTAATGTTTGAAAATGTAAACAACGCGTATTTTGGTGAAGAATATGTACACATTCCAAAAATATTCGAAAAGTTGTTCCTTAACTCCGTAAAGTGAGTAAAACCCCATAAAAATGGTCCAATTTTCAAAGGACCATAACTCCTAAAATAGTGAATATATTTGAAAGAAAAATTTTTTCTGATGTAGAGCCCATAGATACCTAGATGTAAGTATTAGACAACTTTTCTGTATAGCGCCATCAAATTTATTAAAAATTAAAAACGAATTTTTAAGAAAAATTGACAAAGGGGTAGGTGCCTAATTTTTCGACAAAAAAAAATTTTTTCAAATCGTTCTAAAAAAATTATTTTCGGTTGGGGACATCAGTTACAAACATTCTTGATGAATAGACATACCCTCGAAATCCTATCCACTTTCGAGAAAAAAATTCAGTAAGTGGACAAATTTTTCGTCTAAATTAAAAAATTTCAAATCATTGTAAAAAAATTATTTTCTGTTGCGGGAGTCAATTACAATCATTTTTGGTTAATAGACATATCCTCGAAATCCTACGCACTCTCGAGAAAAAAATTCTTTATTGAAAATATAATGTGTGGTTAGAAATGTTTCTGTAATTTCATTTTTTCTCACTTTCTATGGTTATAAATATTAGGACACTTGACCCTAAACGTCAATATTTAGATTATCGTAATTTTGCGGTAGGATGTCATAAACTAATATTTCTGGAATTATTTTATAGGCTGTAAAGATTAAATTATTATAAAATGTTCTACTCTATTTTAAAGGAACGTCGTCTTACAAATAAAAATATTACGCCTGTCGATTTACAATTTGTAATTCGTCATTATTTCTACACATCGAGGAGTGATAGCTTTCTGGTTGGAATAATATTCGTAAAATATTTCTGGTTGCCATGATTTATAATTGCGGCAGTTTCGACTGCAATAAAAACGAAAACAATTCCGTTTTATATAGAAATATTTAAATAAATTGCTTATCGAACGCGTTTGGACGCATAATCTTCACCGACATCAGTCGCTTGTTTTCCCACGCGACCATTGTGCGTCGTCGAGAGCGAATAAGCGAACGCGGAACGTAAAGATTAATTCCGACTGCCATTTATCGATGCCACCCGAATTCCGATGCAGCAATTTGACAAATGGTTACCAATATCGGGTAATCGATGATATTTATGCAAGCAGTATGCCATGCTCGCCCACACACGGCCGCGTAGAATGGCTGTTTTAATCGATCGATAATGCCTCCTTTCGAGTAACGCATTCGAGTAATGCACCCCTTCGGGCATCGAGAGAAATCTCCCTCATTTGTCAATACTCGAACGGTCCCGGATGCTTCTTGCACAGTTTAATGTTCCGCGTACAGGGTGCTTCAAAACGCGAGAACGGCTTTTCCATCGTCTGTTAGCCTCTCGTTGTCTCGAGATGGACTCCCATTTTATTTCGTTTCGCTCGATCCTCCGGTTCGACGGTGCTTCTAACGATCGTGCTTCTATTCCCCTATGACATTCCAATTTCACGTAAATACCTTCTAAATACTAATACCCTACTGAATACTCGAATGCTTCCATAACGAAAACGCAGTTGTGTGTTGGGATGAAACTTGGAGCTCCGATTTAATCTCTTTAAGAGCGAGCTATTTAATCTGAAACGTGCAAAAGTTCCAACGGTTCGTTCATCGTTTCGGTGGCAATTTACTTTCAACTTATCAACATTCGAATCTCTTCCCCTTTCACAACGTTTTCCTATGTTTAAATCATACACGGTTCCTCGCGGCTCGAATGGAATCATTACTCGTGCGTGTAACACAAAGTCGATTCGAAGGAGGCCCCTTGAGCGCCCGAAATCTCGAAACGACACTCGAAACAGACGAAAGGGTCCGCTTTATCGGCGAACTCGATTCAGAGCGTACAATCGCAGCGAATCTGTGAAAAGTCTCTGCCCTTTTGTCGCGGCGGGTTTAGGTTTACAGCGGCGAGAGAAACGCCCGTTGGACGCTCGTGTTCGGTCAGCGTGGCTTTTGTTTCGTCCGGCAGCTTTCGTTCAGCGCGCGAAGAGGAGCGAGAAGAAAGCGATCCGGGCGGTGAAAGGCGGGTAAAAAGCGTTTGCGCGATCGTTTGCCCGTTCTTTTTCCCTAAAACGGAGGTCAACGTGTTTTTGTGCGGGCTCGACGAAGGGCGAAGGGCCACTTAACCCGCCGTCAGGGCCTCTCATTGTCGTTTTTCGACGATTATATTAGAACGAGGCAGGGGGGGTCTCCTCTATCGACGATAAAAATTCGAGACCGGCTTGGTTGTTTTGCATCTAGGAGAGACCTCTTCACCACACACCCCTTCCCGCCGAAAATCAAGAGGCCCTTGGGTATGGAACAATGCCGCGAGCCCCCTTCCGAAGTATACTCGACGCGGACTTTCTTTGCCAGCGAGACAATACTCCGTAGCCGTGTAAACCGACTCGCGAAACGGTCGCGTTGGGGGGGAAAAAAATTGCTCTTCGAACGGTGGTTTTCGTAGGAGGAACGAGGCGAAGGAAACGAGAGGCCTCGACGAGAACTTGATCCCGATTCGCGTCAATTATAAGCCGACTTTAAGTTTTCTTTAACCCCTTACGCTTACGCTTTTGATCCCAATTGGTTTATTTATTTTTCATTTGCCAAGCAATTCACGAGTCACTGTAATTTTGTCGGCGGAGTTAGCAAATGATTAAGAATCAGGATTTTTATTAAGAAAGTCGAAGTGAGATAAATATGCATTTGTATTTGGGTGGTTCCGTTTAAACGACCCAGTTTGCATAGTCGTAGAAATGTCCAGATCGGTGATTTTTAATCATCGAGTCGAGAAGTCAGCAATACTGTGCCGACACTATGTCCTTTTAGAAGGATTTAAATATATCGTCGCTTTGTTTCTGCGCTAGGCAAATAATATTTTTAAATGATAGCAACGGAGAATTCAGCCTTATCTGGGTTAATGAATTTCCAATGTTTACTGTTTTTGAAATTTTCACTGTAATTATCCATTGTTCGGAACTGTATTATACTCATTTTTCATGAAAGTGTGACACAGGATTAACAAGATTAAGAATTTTCAACCACGACAGAATTCATTCTTGGGTTTAATTGCTTTCGTAAATCATTGAAGATAAAAGAAAGTATGACAATGCTTTAGTATGAACTTACAAAAAAATTAGTAATATTTTAAGGGTAGAATCTGATAAATTTGCATAGTGGATCGTATGCGTGTATGTAGGGTGTATCGTAGTAATGTCAAAAATTTGTATTCTTTCAAAAATAAGAGTTATGTATGACAAAATTCTATTTCAAATTTTCGATTTACTTTTATTTAAAGAATTATTACCAATGATAACTTATTTCGATACCTCGATACTTCGGAATTGATACTTATCAGGATTAATAAGCACTTAGTTAGATTGAATTTAGTAGTCTTTGGATACTCACGTGCTCAATAGCGATTGCATTTTGCGAAAGAGATCTCTTCTGCTTCGACGATGATAATCATCTGGACCTTTGCGTGACAACATACTCTCGCTGGGCAACTCCCATGCTTGGCCAGCGGTGATTCCAATGGTGGACAATCCGTATGGTTTTGCATAGTTGTTCATAGTCAAGCAGTACACCAACTGGGTGATCAAATGTATCAAATTCAAAGGGAGCCATTTTCATTGAGAGGAGTGGCTAGATAAGTTCAATGAATGCAAACTTGGTATTTGGATCTGGACCATTTGCACTCGAACATCAGAGTATTTAGAGAATTCTTGACAAAATTGTCGGAGTAATACGTTCTGATATTTCAAATTTGTATATTCAAAGTCACTCGAAGATCATGTTGTTGCAGATAGTTAATATTTACTAAATAACAGCAAAAAAGTGCAAGATTATACCAATAATATTATACAAAATCTTTTCGAACTTTGTCATTCATGACACGTAATTCACACTGTACATTTTTATTAAATTTAGTAAAAATCTATAATTTGAGACAGATAATCGACATTCCTTGCAATTAAGTTTGATTTAACTGTTGTCAAACAATTAAATTGTCATCACGAAATAAATCTTGATAAAAGAATATAAAATAAGAACTTTGGTACTTCGTTGAACGAGAATTTAGAAGGCCTTGTCATTCATGGCAAATAGTTCACGCTGTACATTTTTATTAAGTAAAAATCTATAATTTGAGACAGATAATCGACATTCCTTGCAATTGAGTTTGATTTAACTGTTGTCAAATAATTAAATTGCCATCACGAAATAAATCTTGATAAAAGAATATAAAATAAGAACTTTGGTACTTCGTTGAACGAGAATTTAGAAGATCTTGTCATTTATGACAAATAGTTCACGGTGTACATTTTTATTAAATTTAGTAAAAATCTATAATTTGAGACAGATAATCGACATTCCTTGCAATTAAATTTGATTTAACTGTTGTCAAACAATTAAATTGCAATCACGAAATAAATCTTGATAAAAGAATATAAAATAAGAACTTGTACGGTTCTTCGTTGAAAGAAAATTTAGAAGACCTTGTCATTCATGACAAATAGTTCACACTGTATATTGCTATTAAGTAAAAATCTATAATTTGGGACAGATAATCGACATTCCTTGCAATTAATTTTGATTTAACTGTTGTCAAATAATTAAATTGCCATCACGAAATAAATCTTGATAAAAGAATATAAAATAAGAACTTTGGTACTTCGTTGAACGAGAATTTAGAAGATCTTGTCATTTATGACAAATAGTTCACGGTGTACATTTTTATTAAATTTAGTAAAAATCTATAATTTGAGACAGATAATCGACATTCCTTGCAATTAAATTTGATTTAACTGTTGTCAAACAATTAAATTGCAATCACGAAATAAATCTCGATAAAAGAATATAAAATAAGAACTTGTACGGTTCTTCGTTGAAAGAAAATTTAGAAGACCTTGTCATTCATGACAAATAGTTCACACTGTATATTGCTATTAAGTAAAAATCTATAATTTGGGACAGATAATCGACATTCCTTGCAATTAATTTTGATTTGTCTGTTGTCAAACAATTAAATTGCCATCACGAAATAAATCTTGGTAAAAGAATATAAAATAAGAACTTGTACGGTACTTCGTTGAACGAGAATTTAGAAGTATAGTTTGCACAAGTAATATTTTACAATTTACGTCACGCAGCCCACGATTTTGCAATTTGTATAAAGCACACCCAGCACCGTCTACTTTTGTATTCCAATTTCACGAACGGTTAATTATTAATTTCGTCCAATTACTGACGTTCGTCGCAGCGACGCGGGGTCCTTTTATCACTTAAATTTTACATGCTGGCGTTTTCAATGACGAAGAGGTTTCCCGGCCGGAACGACGCCGCTACTTCGGGCCGTGTCGGTTATTAGAAATTATTAAGCCATCGTTTACAGCGCAAGTTTGCCGAACTTGCCTCGACGAAGCATTTCGAGGACACCGACGGTGTAACGTTATGTTTTTACGATGAAAGCGCGGGGTCGGAGGCAGAGAAAAATATGAACGTACAGAGTATATAGGAAAACGTGTCTCGGATATGAGAGCTTGACTAAACAAGGGCAGGGTCTGTTTCGAGGGCGAAACACTGGAGACTTTTTGAATTTTTATATTCAATTCATTTAACGACTTTATTCTCCGTAACGAGGGTGAACAAAGTATACTTTAACATTTTAACTTTTTCGCTGAGGTACCTATGCAAGTGTAGTTTTTCCAAAAAATATTTCTACAATTAGACAGAAAGCTCAAAGCATTTCAAGTCCTTAAGAATTTCGGAAAAAATTAAATTATAATGTCATAGAAGTTGGATAATGGAAGGAAAATAATGCACTAAGTAAGTAATTATAATATTACATTATACTTATTACCTGTTTGTTGTGTTATTTTCACTGCATCTGTCAATTTTTATAATCGTATATTAGTAAACTAAATGAGTAAATAAATAAATTGTACAATAAGATTTTTGAAAACATTTGTGAAATCGAAGATCAGAAACTGCGATATTGCATTTATTAGTGTTTTAACGCGTTAAAAAATAGTAAAAACATTTTATACACAGTTAATGCTCCAAATTGTATATTTTTGCTCTAGTCCAACTGTAATAATATTCGAAGAGGGTTCAATGTTCGCGTTCAAGGAAGGTCGAAGAATTTTATCAGGAAGTTCCACTCACTTGAACGTTGCTTCCTCGAGGAAAGACCAGGTATTTCGCATCGAATTCCCTTTTGGACCGGTCGATGGTTTCATTCGTCGGTTGCAGCGATGTTATCGCGTTCGATATATGGAAGAATTTGATTGCCAGAACGAGGAACAATGGATACGCCGCTGGCATCCCGTTAAACTTCGGTGAATTGCTTCGGTCAACGGGAGAGGATTTGTCCGACCAGTTTACCTGGTCAGAGACGCTAAGTGACAGGAACTGTCGGATGATATAATAACGGGTAACGGTGGTTGAAATGTTTAGGACCGTTTAGCGAAAAGTTTATAGCCGAATCGTTAAACTACTTTAAATTAGTCGTTAAAATACGAGCGAGTACAAATTGCACGTGGTTTTCAGCTGTTCCCCGTTCGCGCGTGAAAGAATCTTCCGGGAATTTTATTTCCTCGTATTTCTACAGCCATCGTGGACTTTGTAGAATAATGACAAGAGATTTTCTAGCGGCTCTAAATTATATCTCGGGACGTTAATAGATAAGATATACATTGTACTTGGAGTGTCTCAGAAAGTACTGAAAATGTTTAGCATTACAAAATTAAAAAAAAATATTTTAAATTTATATGTATTTATAATTTATATTTTAATGGTTTGCTAAAAGTTTTCATTCATCAGAGATTTGTGACGAGTTTAGAGAGACCTCTATAGGTTACTCTATAGGAAACTAAAGTTTGCTGGAATTATTATTAAATACTCGAGGATTTTTGAATGGGAGATATTTTATGGGACACTTTAACATTTACGGGCGGTGCAATTGAAATGTAATGGTTCAACTTTTCGAGCAACTACAAGCTCCGGGAACAGGAGGGAACTGTATTGCTCCTGGCAGATGAATTATTAGAAACATCGAAGCGAAGGTTGAACGTTTGCACTCGTATAGAAAAATTGGTGCATTTATCACGATACACTGGCACGAAAGTGGATCCACTTAACGAAAGATTAATCTTTATCAGCCGTTATCGTTCGCAGATCTAATCTTGCAAAAACTACCAACTCGTTGAAACTTTCATAAAATCAAGCAACCTGAAACTCCACTTAAAAGTATGCCCCGACGGTTCAATAAAACAATACGGTTCGCACGACTATTAATTTTATCGGACGCAGGATTACAATCTTCGCGAATCATTCCTTCTTTATATAGTTTTTTAAAAACATAGAGATTATCATTTCTATCATTATCGCAGCAATCTCACTTTACACGTATTTTGTTACTACTTTTCAACTTTAAGGGGGGAGTCTCATGTGAGACCTCAAAAATATCAATTTTTTTTTGCTTCATTTTTTGAAAGTATATATATTTAAGAATGTATTGTTAAATTTTGAGAAATAAATGTTAAGTATTGTGGATTGCAGAACATTACACCTAACCCAGACATTACTGTTTCGAAAGATTTACGACAGGGTCAAGAGACATCTGCTGATATTAAAAGTTGAAATTTGAGTGTTTTTGTCATGTAGGTGGCAATATTCTGGAAGGAATTCTATATTGAGCTGAGATTGATGACCATGATCTTGCAGACTTTAAATGCGTTTCTCTCGAAACGTTACTTTCTTAACTGGCGTAGATAAAATCTCAAAAACTATACATTCGAGTGCTTTGAAATTTTTACACGTTGTTCCACATACTAACAGTTCTCGCCCAGTTCTTGCTCATAGTTCTTGCCCAAAATAAAAAATGTTATAATGACTTTATCATATCTTTTTTATTAAAAAGTTGCAAAAGAAACGACGAAATTTTGCAATTTTTACTTTAAGCTTTCACCATTTTGTCAATTTGCAACATAAATTAATTATTTTGGTACGGGCGATAACTGTAAGTCTACCTAATAAAAATTTTTTTGATTTTCTTGATTTAGTCAACCTTGAGAGCTGCAATCACGTACGCCAGTGTTTAAACACATGTTTACTGTAGACATGGTAACAACATTAAAAGTTAATAAAAATTAATAAAAAAACTATCTTGTATTCCCAAAGGATAGCTAAGTAAACTGCAAAAAAGAATCATAACGTCAGATATAACATTTCCTTAAAAAAAATTAAGAAAAATGGTTCAATTTTCTATCATTTACATGAGACTCCCCCCTTAAGGGAAAAACCATTGTCTAGATCAAAATCACCCTTTCTTTGTGTCTATGTAATATCTAGTTTATTTATTTTAATTACAGTGGTTGTAAAAATCAGTTTAGACAATTGTGGGTAAATATAGAAGAAAGCAAAATGAATTATCGTTGTATAGGGAGTGGCTCTTTTGTGCGAAGAATCAAAAGGGTGCTTGAAATTGGGAAAAAATTAGTCGAGGCACCGTTTCTCTTTGAAATAGTAATCGACGGTCGTCCGTAAAACGCGACCAGTGGAATAAATTAATACAAATGAATTTCGTCGGGGGTTGGCGGCATAAATAGCGAAATAGCCGAACAGTAAAGAGGATTGGGCCACAGTGTCAGCGTGCCGACTGAATTATCGAGATATCGTCCGACGTGAAATTAATACTATAGAAAGAGGGCCGCGGATCATTGTCCTCGGATCACCAAGTAATTAGAATGATGGGATCGTCGTTCGCGTTCGCCAGGGGTCATGAAATTTTACGGCGGACCTCGTGGACCGTCGGGCGAAAATATAATTGGAACACTCGACGTTGTAAAAAAAAACGGAATTGCAGATTTTTTAGCGGAGGCGATAATTTTTCTCTCGCGTTCCGCCCTCCCACTCCGCCGCCCCGTTGCCCACCGCCCGGCGTGATCGAAATTTAACATAGATCGGGTCGTCTTTAATTTCTCGCCGAAAAAATCTAACTGCGGCGATTATTTTTTTGTTTTATTTCCGTTTCGGTTGGCGCGACGTCGAGCATACCGCGTTAAATTAAAAATTGAAACGCGAATTAATGTTTTACCAAGTGTTTTGTTTGCGTTCACAATTATTGAATCTCATGGCACGTGCATCGGTTATCGGTTCAGAGCATAAATTTCTGCGTATTTTGCTACGTACATCGAACAAACCGAAGGGATACCATTTATTTTTTATAATCGATGGTTCTCCATTATTATTTCTACTTTTGATTTTGTTTCGATAAAATTTGAGTGGTTTACAGGCAAAACGTCGTGGAAGCGCATATTGGATTTTATTTTTTCATTTAGATAACAAAATATTTGAATAGAATGTTTTGTTTACGTGTTTATTTATTCTTGAAAATGATATACACATTTTTATGTAACAAAAAGCTTAATATTTAAAAAGTTACATGTTAGAACATAAGTAGTATTTACATTTACGTTGCTACGTGGCAGCCACGATGTAAAGTTGTCATAATTAAGACAGTTTTTCTGTTTCAATCTGTTATTGTAAAAAAATAACATGCTCTCTTTTCAAATAGTCTGCAGAGTTTTTAAACTTAATTTTAGATCGTTTTCTACCCAATCGTCGTCTTCTTCAAGCCTCAGTAACTTCATTTACATTTCGAATTAGTTAGACTTTATACTTGCAAAAGGTTTTAAAGAGATAGGATTTCATCGACCCGAAAAATATGAATATTCCCTTACGGGATTTTTATTAGAGCTATTAAATATCTATCTCTGTATTCCTTTCCCGCCACCATCCTCGTTCCATAACAAAAACATGGCGTCGTCATCCGATTCTGCGCGATTTCATAGTAAAATTTATAACACCGGCAGTGTTGATTTTTCCAACATCCTTTTTAAATACATTTTCTGCTTTCCCCCGTTGAATTCTTTTTTCCATGTTTCCTGAAAGCGATGGATTATGCTTTGTTCAAACTTCATTTCGTACGAAGTTCACCGGACCGTACGTTAGCGTATTAATAAAACGTTGTCAGTGTGTTTAGCGTAATGCTTGCTGGTTAAATATTGGACATTTAAATAACGACGCCGACGTTTTTTTTTCTTTTTTCATCCCCGTTTCCCTCCCACTGTTCCCGTTTACAAAAGAGCCGGAGCACCGCACTCGGCCGCGGCACTCTACCGAAATGAACTATAAATTCCCCGGCACTCGGTTGACCATTTTGTTAATGCAAAATGAATTACGCGCCGCCGCGGCGCTGCGACAGCCGGTGAAATATATTCGCTGAAAGGTCGGCTGGAAAATCTTCGAAATTCGCCGGCGAAAGCGTAAATTGAAATTAAGAGGTCGAAAGGATCGCGCTGGAAATTTTCGTTCGATTCGATAAGTCGAAAAATATTAGCCTCCATTCCTTCCCGTGGAACCGAATCTAACGAAATTCCTTTTTCATAAATCAACTCCATTTGTTAATCCTTCGACACCAACGCGTCCCAGAGCTCGTAACAGCATCTTTTATTTACAAATAGCTTCACAAACAACCGCTTTTAAAATATCGTTTAGAATTTTTAACGTACAATGTCATTTTGCCGCCATTTAACTTTATGACTCTTTATACGTACAATGAATTTTTCAATATTCACTCCTATTCTTATTGTTTGTTTTCTGAGAACAATATGTTGTCTGTCTTGCGTATCTCGATCGGGCATCTAACCGGTTGTATGGGTAATATTTGTTTGTAAAAAACCAAAAGGCATCAAATTTTGGTTAAGTTCCAATGTAAATAGGAATAGGAAGGATGAAAGAAGAGAATTTTCTGTTCCACTGTCTTAGAACAGTCTAACAATCCATATTAAATATAGTCAAACTTCATATGTATGCAGTTCCGAAACTATTAGTGTTTTATCAATAATTGAATCACTGTAAGAAGTGGCAAGACCTCCCCTTTAATGTAGTTTTTGGTTTTTGTCGATACGACTTTTCATTTCGGAGATATCGTAATTTAAGTGAAGGGGTGATTTTTAAAATTCCACTCTTCGTCTATTAACGCGTATTAAAAATACTAAAACTTTAGATGCGTGCAGTTCCGAAACTACTAGCGTTTTATCAATTAATAAGGCATTAATATAAAAGGTAATTATTTTAATTCGACTATCTCTGTCTCCGTCTAACGCGTCGGACCTCCTTCTCGCACGTTGACCCACTAACCGAGTGACCGAGCGACGTCATGTTTACTATTTACTACGAGCACGTGCGGTCAACGACCTCGACAAGCCCGTAGTAGGAAAGTAAACAAACGAACTAATTATGCTATCGACTTGTTCGAACGCTCATTTTAAAGGGCATTTCACCCTCTATCCTGTGAATCATTAGCAATCATTCTAATTTATGCTACCTTCTATGTTTAGGTAAATAAACAAAGTAGTTTCAACAATTCCTATTGATTATACGACTGTTATAAATTCTTTATTTAAAAACAAACGAAAGATCTAGTAGTTCCACGCGCGAAGTTCGTGGTTTGTCGAGGTAGTTTCCTTGTTGTTCGGGGCAAACAAAATATTCGAGTGGACAGGGGTCTCGTTTAAATAGCGTCATTATCGTAAACTCCCCTTGTTAGATAGTTTTAATATCGTCGACTAAAGAACTCGTTCGGTACGATTTACTCTCGCGGCCGGGCAAACAGTTGCGAGCGGCAACGTCCACCGCACTTTACGCTTTCGTTGTAACAAATGTATCCGCGCGATGATCCCGCGGAACTTGGCAACGGTCGGCCGCGTGTTTCGCTGGACCAGAAGATTATGCGGGGACGCAGTGGGGCGCAGGTTGAAAGATCGCCAGACCTCGGGCTGGCGGCCAGGAAAACTTCAGAAGCGTTTCGTCGGAGGCAGCGGCGGCACGTCCGTCGGCGTTGCACACGCATACGAACGCGTCGGATTCCGGGAGTCGACGGGGTGCCTCTTGGCCAGCCTCAGAAGTCTACCTCATAAATGGAGTGCTGGCAGGTCGGATAGAGCTGCGAGCAGTTTTCGGTGGTTCTGTGAGCGTGCTCGTAACCTCGATCCTCCGACCGCTCGAATCGCCCGTCCTTGGGCAGTCTGCAACAGGAAAACGGGATTCAGGGCACTCGTGTTCGACCAATTCAGCTGCCCCGACAGATTATGGTTTCAGGTTCCGGGCTTTCAGTTTTAAAGGACAAATCGGAGTGTCGTTTCCTCCAAAACGGAGAGGACGACTAATTGGCCAACGCATAAAAACAAAAATCGGATGGCGTGTGAGATTTTTTTTGATTGTTGAAGGATCAAGTAAGAAATGTATCGTCCATGGAGAGAACAATTAATTCGTCAATGCATACAAAACAGATTGGATGACGTCTGAGATTTGTTCATTATTAAAGGATCAAGAAATACTTCAGTTAGTCTATTTATGCTTGCTTTAACGTTTCATGGAATTCGAAGTTCTTATATTGTAGAGAACCTAAGGTGTTGACCACATCGTAGCATCTAGCAAGGTTTTAGGTGAATTGTTTGCGGAAGTGGTGCTTCTGTTGCTTTTTACTTCGTTTCTATTGATTTTCTGGAGGCGAAGAGAGCGAGAAAGTAATTCGTAGGAAGTTAAACAGAGGAAGTCGGTAGTTAAAGGGTTCTTCGCTTCTTTTACGAAGCTGGGACTCATTTTCTTCGAGAGTTTTGCACACACGTTGACTGTTAACGCTTGAAATCACGAATGCAACTAGAATATCCAGAGTCGAGGGAATTTCTATAACAATAGATAGTCTACTGTCGTTTCTAAGAACTATGCTTTTGTGATGTTTCGAAAGTTATTCCGACACGTGGGCCGACGAACTCTCAATCTGTCAACGTTTCGTAGTATTTAAGAATTAATTGCATCGATAAACAACTGATTTGGCATAGCTGTGGCTTGAATGATTCGTTCAAGGCAACTCGATTGGGTTAACCAGCTGATGGTTACACGAGTCTGCCACTCGTAATTTAATCGTTTCAATTGATTAACTCCTGTAATTGATTACACGTTGGTCAGCCATACGTTTTAGTTTCACAGTTGCTCTCATTGACTAATTACTCGAAATAATTAATGGAGCCTGCTATAGCATGGGATATCACTTGTCACTCATACATGTACTGTTTGCGGCATGTAGCATCGGCTGTTCAAGGTCACCCTTCGTAACTTAGGTTATCTTTTTATTCGAGTACGTTCACCTACAGATTCGTGGTTTCTGAAACTGGTTGATTAATATCTTCAGAAAAAATGTTCAAATATCCAATTTTGAAGGCTTCGAACTAAATGTACCTCTTAAGGGACGTTATTTGTCCCTGACCAAGGTTTATCTATCTGTTTACCTATCGCGGAAGTTTCGCCTCCAATCGAAACTTTTTCGTCGGCCAACAAGACCCGAGTGGTCGCCAAGTTCTTGAAGAGTTGGTATTGAAGGGAATACTCACGTGAAGATGGCGTGCAACAGCTCCTGGACGAGGGTTCCTTTGCCAAGATCCGCAGGATCTCTTTGCCCAGCTTCGCAGAGTGCCCTCATCACGCAGGCTCTGCCATCGAGGCCCGTCCTGTCGATTAAAATTTCATTTGAAGCAATAATTTACGTTGCCTCTTTCGCTAGAACGTTTCGAAAATCAAATGCAACTCGAGGATTATTTTCGACGCGCGTAAACAATAAAACGATCCACTCGTGGCGTCGGATGACGCGTGGAACATGTTGTTCGTCGGCTGCTTCCGGGCCGGAAACTTTCGTAAAGGAACAAGAGAGATTCGAGGGTCGTCGGAGGCGACGGACGTGATCGACGTTTCCGGTGTGCAGAATAGAGTGACACGAGTGTCTGCCAGGATTCTTGAGCAAACGCGCCAAAGAATGCCAATCGCGTCGTCTGGTCACGCGTGGATTGTTAATTAAATTCCCAGCCAACCGATAATTACTCACAAAAATCTTGGTGCGAAGTGTCACCAACCGGAGACAGCCTTTTGCAACGCGAGTACTCAGACCCGTGGAATTTCTTGAGGACCTTTTAAAGGGGTTTTCGTGCTCCGGGACTCTGGACAAGTGCATTTCTTTCCGCAATTTTTTATCGAAATACAATTTATAATTCGAACCTCGCGTATTTATTCATACGCGTTTCGAGAAAACGTGTATTTTTGCCGAAGAAAAATATTAAATGTTTTGAAACGTAGGCTCGCGTCAAACTAAATTATTCCCCGACACTTTTGTTCCTTTCTACACGTTGAAGTTTTTAAATAAAAACTATGCTCCCTTTTAAATTATTCAGAGTATTAACCGTGTCTCTATTTAATATCCCATGCGGCTGGACGTCTAATATATACCTCGGATCGTGATGTAAATACAAATAGCGCGGGGTAGGTCCTTTGGAAGAAAAGGAACACGGTGCATAGGGTGACTCGAGAGAAAACAGGTCATTGAATTCTGGAGATAATTTTTTACGAGGAATATTTTATCGTCCATAAATGTTCGATAGAAGTTTAATAATTTGACGGTTGACTAATCATGAATAATGAATATTTCATCCATGTTAAAACCATAAATCTGCAGTTTTATGTACGGTAACGTTTGTCCTTAAATATTAAATATGAAACGGTACTCGATGAGGTAACAGTGTATGATAAAGTTGTTTTCTCGTCACGTTCCGGTGAGACTTTTTTGACAGTCTAGGATCACCCTGTATAATGTGGCGGAATCGAACTCGGCGGTCTTCCTGTTTCGTTATTCTCACACGTTTCGCATGAAAATTCCTGCGTCTGTCGCCCATTTGCATGTGCCAGCGGGGTAAAAAAGGGTCCATTTGCATGTTACACCGCGCGCTTCGGGACCGTATGAAAGCGAGCTTTCGCGGGGCGAAAACAAAAAGCAGAGGGGAACGGAAGGATGGGAGGGAAATGAATTGAAATTCTTGCGTCTTCTTTGCGGTTTGACACTCTATTTCCTACGTAATTTGTGCCACGATTAAGCGAAGGACCGAGAAAACGGGACGCTGGTATTACATTCCGTTCGGTATTTCGTTTGATCGTTTTGTAACAGTGGTCGCTAATCTTGAATAGCATAAAATTTACTACTACCGGAATAACGATTATCGTGCAAAACAAGCACCATTACTGTAGAAAATAATGAAATACGCATAGAGTTTATATATTCAGAATATTAATAGAGTTATTAGTTATTTGTTACACTGACGTCCACAAGTCACTGGGCATTTTGCTCATTCTTTGTTACTTTTATTTATTTTAAATTGATATAAATTTTATAGAATCGAAATAAATATGCAATGTGCAAGATTGAACGTGTTAAAAGTCGAATAGGGTCTCGTGGAAAATATTGCAGAAATGAAAAATTACTAAAACAGAATTATAGACAGAATTTCAACGTTAATTTGAAGGATCGTTTTCAAAGGCGGCTGATGCACTCATAAAACGAGAGCCTCCAATTGTTTGCAAACATTTAAGTAAAATCCACAACATATAACACGAGTTTTTCTTTATAATGTAAATGAATAAATGTTAGTTTCGTTTTACAATTTACATCGTTTCGTTAGTGTTAATCGTTTTTATTCCACATTTATTAAGTGTCCTGTGACTTAAGCATTTTGCACATTTTTGTTACATTTATTTAAATTACTATAAATTTTATAACCTTCAAATAGAGTCAAAATAAATATTCAATGTATAAGATCGAACGCGTTTAAAGTCGAATAGGGTCTCGTGAAAAATATTTCAGAAATGAAAAATTACTAAAACAGTATTATAGACAGAATTTCAACGTTAATTTGAAGGATCGTTTTCAAAGGAGGCTGATGCACTCACAAAACGAAAGCCTCCAATTGTTTACTAACACGAGTTACATTTCTTTTATAATGTAAATAAATAAAATTTAGTTTCGTTTTACAATTTACATCGCTTCACCAGTGTTAATCATTTTTATTCCACGTTTGTTAAGTGTCCTGTGACTTTTAGACGAAAGTGTACATGCGCCAAAGGATCCCTCGGCAAAATAAACAAATTAAAGAGATCAGATTTTGACCGGATCCGAACCCACGGTACGAAGATAACAATAAAGTCTTTCGAACGAAGAAAGAGATTCGAAGAATTTACGGGGAAGCTGATTCACTTACGACTGGAGTAGAGCTTCTATTTTCGGGAAGACGATGCTCCTGCTCTTACGATCGAGGAGTTTCGATATTTTGTCGTCGACTTTGCTCGGCAATTCCCAGGCCAGGGCCACCGTCATGCCCATCACCACGTCATTCTCTGTGGCGTACGTTCCAATCGTCAGGCAAAACACCAGCTGACAAAGACAGAAAACAATCGATACATATTCCCGCGATCGCTGCTCGAACAATGTTGACCGAATTTCAATCAATTCGAACGCAGTAGAGAAACCATGCACGAACGAAACGGACCCCGCGTATTTAGGCTGCTTCCCTGTGTGTTTCGGGCGAACAAATTGGAGCAACGTTTTGGCGATTTCTCCGGAGAAAAATATTGAAACAATTCGTGCTAAGGGATGTATTCGCGAAAATGATGTACAAATTTTTTTACGTGATCGAAACAAATAATGAACGAGTATATAATATCCCAGTGCTGTATCGAAAACGCGTTTCCAATTTGTGAACAAGATTTAGGAGGAATTGGAAAATTCTAAAACCGACAAAATCATGGAGCTGTGAATTTATAACGAAAAATGTTTTAACTCTGAATTAGAAAATAATATTTTCTGACGTGATACGTAAAAGATGTCTCGTGTCACAAAGGGTTTAAATATTGAAAGAAAATTTCATTCCGGCATATTTTCCCGCGAAAAGCTTCATAAATCTTGGGATTGTTCGGGCTGTGGAGTGATGTAACGCGTTCTCCGTGGGAGACAAGGAAAATCACTGACAGGAAAGCGAATTTCCCCATGGTTTTACCTGCACGTTGCTGCCTTCCGGAAAAATCAAGTACCTCTTGGGTCTCGAGAGCGTCCTCGGCGCGTCTATCGGGCTCTGTGTCGCGCAGATCATCAGGAAATCGAGGCACGCGAGGACGAAGGAGAGAAGTCGGACGCTCGGCATACCTTCGACGCGGTCCCGGGACTACTTTTCGCGTTCATGCGTTCCGCAGACGCGTCGAAGGAGAAAGTGTCTTCCAAAGTTTCTCCCGCGCCGAACTTCGAAACAAGAATCGCGTATCGAGCGTGATTTCAACGCCGCTAGAATGCGTTTTCTATACTAAAGCACCGGCACCGCCCGAATGAACGAAGTATAGTTCCGCGGACGGGATAACGGGAACGAGTATGCCCGTGTTTTTCCACGGGTCTAATAAGCCGGACGACATCTCGACAATTCGTCCAGCAAACGAAACGCCTTCGAGCTGCCCAATCCCACTGTGGAACTAACGAGCATTATGACTCGGACAAAATTCTGGACCATTTTCATTTATTTGTGAGGCAGACCCTTCGACACCGGAGAATAACAGGCGCCAGAGAACGAATTAAAGAGAGAAAAAACAAATATAAGAAATAAGTACATTGGAAGAAAAAGTAAAGAAAGGAATCGAATCGATACAAATCGCGTATTGAAGAAATGATAGAGTGTTTAAGTATAGGAAAAGAGTCATGCATTTTATTAGTGAATACGATATTAGAAAATCGATGAACTTAGAGTGCTTTAATAATAAGATATAAAAGATATAAGAAAATTGAGAAAAAAGGTAAATAAAAGAATCGAATCGATACAAATCGCGTATTGAAAAAATGACGGAGCGTTTAAGTAAAGAGACATGCATTTTATTAGTGAATACGATATTAGGGAATCGATGAACTTCAACTGCTCTAATGTGGTTTCTACTACAAGGAGATAGTTTTGTCGGGAGTAGGGGCGAGTTGCATTCTCTTGCATAACTGCAGTCTTGGAACTTTCGTCTCGTCTGTGTTCTTTGGCGAACGCGACGGTACGAAACTCGAAAGATCGAGCGATTGCAAGACGATTTGCATACCGGCGACTTGCTTCTTGGAAACGAGCCCCAATGTCCCAAAATCGGTCGAGTTTTCCGTTGAAATGATTCTCAATGCCGCAGAACTGACCGAGTCTTTCGCTTCTCTGCTTCCGTGGACGCCCACTTTGGTGATTAGCCAAGGTTCCTCGAGGAATTATACGTTTGCATGCGCCGCCATACCGCAATACTTAACGATTTTAGCGAACAAAAGAGCAGGCGGTATCGTAATCGAAGTTATGTAAATTGTTAGAAGGTTTTCAACTTTAATTCAGGCACGTTTTAATGATTTTCATATCTACATGAGGTTGATCAAAAATTCTTTCTTGATAAATAAATTGCAAACAGTTTTGTGTCTTTACGATTTTATTAGTATAAGCTAATAAATATGGATTTTGTTATATGCTATACAATTGAGACAAAGGAAGAAACTATTACATGATTCCTTAGATTGATAATTATGTTTTTTTAATACCCTCTTTATGGGATGAATTAAAAGAATGAGTTTTACCTCGAGAAAAGGGATATAGTTTTTTAAATTTAAAGTGAATTTGAGTTCTGAAAAAGAATGGTTCCCAGAAAGAAAATAGATCCCAACTACAAAGCAAACAAAATGGTAGCGGTAAAAGCACAGAAGGCGATGTAAATCTACGTCCACCGTTGGGCGGGCCAGTCCTAAGAAAACATGGAACAATTTGAACAATATAGTATGTTTATAGAACGCATAATATGTGTAGCAGAAACTAGTGTGGATATATGGTTTTAACACTCGGATTAACTAACAAAACATACTTAGAAATACATACATGGCAATGGGATGCTCGTTCTAAAATGAAACACATCATTTACGTTTGTAATTATCGAGCATACACTAAATTTATAACGTTTTCAACTAGATCGCGAGGCCTTCTCGGAATTTTTTCCACAAATTTATGAAACACGTTATTCGATCAGAAGCAAGTAGAAGCAAACAATTTTTTAAATAACAGGTAAAAATTAATTCATAGCATAATTCAGACAAACAGAATAATCACGTACACATTTGTCCATGAAGTTACACTCATTTGCAACCGTAAATTTTAAAGAAAGAACATGTGGAAAATAATAATACGATGTAATGGCGTCCAAAACCTTTCATGGAAGACTATTTGTTGAACCGTGAATTGTTCATTAACTTAACGAACTGCGAAAGAATTGTCAGCGGGGGTCAAATCGTTCGATAATTTCCGTCTTCGTCGGCAATTAAGGGCTGCTGATTGGTGCGCGCCATTAAACTCTCTCGAGTTCAATAAACTGTCTTCGGTCCTGCGAGTATACCCCGGTCTTGGTGCGAACAGATAGGTTAAAAAATGTAAATATCTTATGGCAATTCTCATACATAAACATAAAGGCTCGCGGTAACCATTCGAATAATTACTGGCGCGAGGAAAATGATAAAAATTAATTGCAGTCGCTGCAAACTTGATTCTTATCGTTCAGCTTTCGACCAGGGTTCACAAACGAGTGAAACAGAATTAATTTAAAAGGAATAAAACACTTTCTTGGAAGCACGCTCGTCTCGCGTTTAAGTTTGACGAGATCCACTTGTGAATTTATTTTCATCAAACGTGACCCTTTACGAAATATATAAACACGAGAAAATACACTGTAGTCCAGAGTACTGTACCGTGGCATTCAAGGGTTAAAAACTAAATGAACAGCGAAACTCGTATCGGAGAAACAAAGCTCAACATTTTGCTCATTGTATTTTTAAACGCTCGCTTACATTAATTTGTACTGTCTTCGTCGGTGGAACGTTTTGGGGAAAAAAACCAGTTTGAGGGAAGACAGAGTCACGAAAGGGTCGAAGGAGAGAGAGGAAGGGAGGGATCATTTTTTTCAACGGACGACACTTATTTCCTCATTTCGCAGCCCATAGCGGCGGAACGAGCGTCTGTTAATTGCATATGGGAGTTGCGTGGGCGTTCGCCCACCTGCCCCTTCTGTACAGTGTCTGGGAAGAAAACCGCGGAACATTCTAAATTAATGCTTTTCGTTAACGCGTTGCCGCCGTGGATGCAATTATAACCGCTCTGTCGCGGAATGTGACTGGGGGTGTCGTCGTCCGTGGAAAATCCAACGGGATAATACGCGGCTGCACGGAGCATTTCCGGTTTGGACATCACGGGGAAACGAGACGACCGCCGGTCGCGTCGTTTGTGCAGCGAAAAATTGGACGATTAAATTCCTGGACGATAAAGGATCGTCGCGTTTTTTTTGCAATCGAGAATCGCGAACGAGCAATTGAAATGGACAAGAGGATTGATTTCTTTACGGTCGGCATATTAAACAGATTTTTGCCCGGCGGCCAATTTTCAGTTTCCTGGATGTAAAGTTTACCATGATTTGCAATATATCATAATACGTTTTTCAGCACGAGAAAGGAGGATAATGAGTTTCGTGAAAATAGGCGAAATGATACATTTATTGAGAAGATGTCTGCAACACTTGCTTTTATTGTAATTTTTATTTCAAATTGCACATGTTTCGTTCAATTTACTTATAAATAATTGTGAAATATTTTACCGTCCATCGTCATGGTTACATTAAAATACAGGTTTTTATTTTAATTGGGACATATATTCGTGTAACAAATAATATTTATATACCTGCCGAAATGACAATTCAAATCGTCATGGTTACATTAAAATACGTTTTTTTTTATTTTAATTAGGACATATATTCGTGTCGCCGTGTTAGTCAAATTCAACATAAATTGCTAACAAATAATATTTATAAGTTCTTCGATATCTGAAACCTGCCAAAATGACAATGTCCGTAAATCTATCGTTAATATCTCTTCACGTATGTACATTTAAATTAATTTGCGTATCTTCGTATGAAGAAACAAGCATGTTGGTTCACTTTTATTCCATGTCGTTAAGGTTTCTTTGGTTTACTAGTCTATGAGACTATCAATTCCGATTAACTGGAGAGGGCAATTCTTGGCGTGATCATCGCAGTACAGCGGGTCCTCGGACGTGCTGCTATTATTCGCGTACGATCTGAAATTAGCGATGGTTAACGAGACGCTCATGCGATTAATATTAATATTCGTGCTCCTCACCCGACGAGTATCCTTAATATCTTCGCTATGACTCCGTCCCTCTGGCTCGTGTACTGCATGGCTTGGCACAAGTTCTTTATTAAACAGGATCTACCATCGAATCCGTGGCTGAAATGTTTTTCAAATATGAAGCAGACCCACTAGAGTTCATCGAAATGAAATTTACTGTTAAATACGATATTCAGATTTTGCTATGAATCCATAAAACACAGTGTAGACTACGCGTGTGTGTGAGAAAAAATAATGGTCACGTTAATAGAAGCGAATATTAGTTTAAATAGGGTTTAAGATGTTTATATGAATTTTTCTCAATGTTTTATATCTCCTAATTATAGGTTTTATTACCCATTGATTAGATAGATAACGCATGTAATTTAAAAAAGACGAGTTTCCCAATTGATTTCGCGTCTATAAAGAATAAATGTAAGAATTTAAGTTAATTGTATACGTGTACGAGAGTTAAAAGAAAATTTAAGAATCGCCTCGAGGTCTGGCAAAGCGAAAATCCATGATGAAAAGTTCGCAGGTTACATGCATTTGGATTGCCTTTCGAAAGCACAAAGATCGACGAAAAAGAGGATTCTGCAGCATCATTTCGCGCATAGAGATCAAGGAAATCTTCTTTGAATGATATCATTTTCTTTTTCCTTGCTTTTCTTTAGTAATTTATATCCTTACGTTTATTCCTTGTATACGAGAAGGAATCGCAAAGAAAGCACTTGATGTTTAGTGATTCGTGCCATTATTCATGTTGCTGAATTCGCGAAGCGCAGAAAGCTTTTACGATATTTTAATTTCTTTTCATTTAGATTTTCAAAAATTAATAAAGGGATAATTTAATGAATACATAACAAGGTTTGAATCTTTTGTTCTTTCATTCAAAAATCAGGTTCACAATTTATAATTAATTAGGGTGTCCTAATGTGGAATACGTTCTAATTTAGAACACCGTAATGTTACAGTATCGTGATTTTGATTCGTTTACAATTATCATTTGTTACAACTAGCGTGCAAGAGGATATTGAAGAAAATTTCGCAGTCTGAGTTTTTGCAAGGTGATCTTTGACCTAAGAATTATGAATCGTGCATTACTTATTTCCTTATATCATACTTTCCTTCTCTAAACGAGTAAATTCGATGTATTATGCTATTCCATATTACGAGCTCTATGAGTCTAATATGGAAAATGAGGAACTCGGTAAAAAAAGTAAACGTTACTTAGACTATTATTATATTTGAAATTTGACTATTACCAGTGAAAAGAGCATATCTGTAAATTCATAATATTTAAGTTTTTATAAAAATTCTGCAAGTGAAACATGTGTATAAAAACAAGTATTCAATATTAGGGTAACTGACACTATAATTCTCGGTATCGATACTATTCTTGCACACAAGTGGGTTTTTACACCGTATAGTAAATAGTTATCATTTATGAAACTAGAGCGATAGAATAGAAGATCGAAGAAGGAATATTACAATTTGGAATTGAATATCTGTCAAAAAATAAGACGTTGTACCTATGTTTATCTATAAGCACTCTTCTCTGCATTAAGTGTAAAAATATCATTATGTCTCTCGTATACAAGTGGGTTTCTACCCCGTATAATAAACAAATATCGTTTACGAAACTCGAGCGATAGAATAGAAGATGGAAGAAGGAATATTATAATTTGGAATTGGATATCTGTCAAATTTAAATAAGACGTTGCACGAAGCTCGTGCCAGGCTATGTTTTGATTTCAAATTGAGATCAATCCCAAAGGAAGCCCATCGGATGTGCATCTGGCGTTGGTGAAACGTAGGATTGGCGAGGAGGGGTTGGAAATAAGAGAAAGAGAAAGAAATCGGAGGCTAGACTGCGGAAGCCACCGGTGCTGCACCATTGGCCGATCGGTAGTCGACGCCGGAAACCGTCTGCCAGGCGGCCAGAAATCCATCCGACGGCTTTTTCGACCGACCACTTTCTGCATCGGTTGGGATCGCCAGCGGTTCACGGCAATTTCCCAGGCACCGCGGCTTCCATGTCGGCGGCCACAGCCCGCTGCCCATCCCCTGCATTATTCACGGTCTATTAAACTATTTATTACCTTTCGTACACGAGCTCCGCAGCTTCGTGAACGTCCACGATGGACCTGGTCGTACGAACGGCCCCCGTCGGCAGCTCGAACGCCATCTTGAAACCCGCAGCCTGGGCGAAGATCGGCGTCTCCGGGAACAAAGTGATCTTGAAATTCACCCTGTACTGGAACCCCGAACTTTCCGTTAATAGTTGCTCCAAAGTTCGCGAGGGAACAATTACAATCGATTTCGAGACCGGTTACAAAATCATTGGGGCTATTTACTGACGTTTGCTCCGACGGGGTTAAATTCAAGAATCTATTATAGGAGACGTTCTACCATTTTGATAACAATAGAAAGCAGAATTAGAAAAAATAGTTATTTTGAGTAGCAATATTTTAAAGTGGAGGGGTTAGGTTCAAAATGATTAATTTAGTGACATTAAATTCAAAAACAAACGTTTTACTAGTTGGAAGATCTGAAAACCAAGTAACAATTATTCCGTTTAATTGTATTTCTGTTACGAGGAAAATATTAAATTTCGGAAGAGGAAAGAAATTATACCGTTTATCCCTATTATAGTCGTTTCTGTCGAACGTTTCATGCGTCGACAAGGGAACAGAGAGACACTGGCCGCTTGGAAGCCTCTCGATACGGCCTCCCTCCCCCCAAAAACCGCCGTGGCCACGGATCGTTTCCAATATCGAATCGTCGAAATAAAATAGGGGGGTTGAAAACGGGGACGTGTATAGGAATAACCACGCCCTGTAAGCTGCCCGAGACTCGAGAGCTCGACCTAAAATTTCAATTTCGAATCGACAACGGCGCCCGGAGCCCCAGAATCCGATCGACGTCCATCGTTTCCGCCGTCTTCTTCCTCCTGATGGAAACAAGAAACGGTCTGGAACAATGTGACGGAGCAGGCGTTACCAGCTCCGGAGAATTCAAGCTGTATATCGGCCAGGTATGGCTGTAAGGGGCGCGGAAACCGAGACTGGGGTGTCACCTGGATCTGGCAAGTCGTTTATCAGACAAGCATCCCTCTTCGAGCTTTGCGTTTCTTGGCCGAAACGGGAATGAAAACAAGCTTGGCCTTTGAAGGGGCTGCTATTGCAGGATATGCATAATTCTTACGATATTCCGTGTTCCTTTGGAGCAGCGTTTCTTAAGGGGTGAAACCACTGTGAGGGCTGAAAATAAAGGCAATTTTCAAGAATTTTTTAGGGCTGATTTTGAAAACTTTTTCTGATCAACGTTTAATATTTTTGAAAGCACATTTCTTGAACTACTTCTTGCAAAAATTTCGTTTTAAAATATTAATTATTATGGTTATAATAGGGACCAGCGTGAGAGGTCTCCAAAAATTTGTTAGAAACAAGCGGACGTGTTATTTTTCACTGCAAGTTGTGAAATAAGAAATCATGCAATTTTCTTAAACCCCAAGCATTGTTTAATTTTTGTTTGTTTGGAGTTTTAATAATGGTCCCCTACAATGTTAAAATAAAATTCGCAAAAATGACAAAGTTGCAGAAGTTTTAGTAGGCGTAAAAAATATAGTATGCCTAAAGATTTGAAACTAAGTGCTATTTAATTAAGGGCAGTCGTTAGAAACTCTTTTATTACTTCTGTTGTGGTCAAATTTTTATACGAAAGGGATGTGTTTGGATCGAGATAACTATGTGAAGCAAGAGTATTTAGTCTAAGTGGTGTGAATGAAGAGTATTTTCATAAAAACCAACTTTTTCAGATTGGGCGTCCCAATAACTCAGTCAATTTTCATCCGATTTACTCAAAATTTTGTATGATGGTTCCCAATACTATTCTTTTCAGTTGCGCGTACGGAATTTTCGATCGAATAGTCAGTTCCTACGTGGTGTTAAAAGAAATGTGGACTTTTTCACAGATTTTTTAGATCTTTTCTTCAAAGTTCCACCATTTTATAATAAATTATTACTACTGTCTTATAGTGTAAGAAAATTGTATGATTTCTTGTTTTAAAATTTTCAGTGAAAAATTACACGTTTCCAAGAAATTTTTATCGACCTCTCACGTCGGTTCTTATTATGTCTATAATAATTGATATTTTCATAAACAATTTTTACAAGAAGCAGTTCAAGAAATATACTTTCGAAAATATCAAACATTTATTAGAAAAAGTTTTAAAAGTCACCCCCCAAAAAATTCTTGAAAATTGCTTTTATTTCCAGTGGTCACAGTGGTTTCCTTAAACATTTCTAACGAATTTTCACGAGACAAAACTATTTCCGATGAACAAATGGAAAATTGTGGGAGAAGAGTTTATCTATTTACTATGTGGAGAAAACTTTCAGGATGCAATCTGTACAAGTGATTCGTTCGACTACCCAAGCGACACATAAAGTTATACCCCTAAATTGAATCCCGCGATGTAAAATCCGCTCCCATGAAAGAAAGCGTACCGAGACGCAGTGTATTTATAACAGTTACCGTCTTCCCTCGCAACCGCCGCACAGTCCGTCATGCTTTAAACAATTATTAGTTTACTTTACGAGTATATAAAGTGTCGCGTAAATATTGTACGGTTATTGATATTTACTCGGACGCGCGGCGGCGTTGACTCGTATGAAAAATAACCGTCGGCGGTCGTTTGTTTCTGGAAAAGTTGCTCGACAACGCGTTAAGATTACAAACGATGGGAAAATGCAAAAGGAAACGACCACGTCGTGGGGGAAAAGCTGTTTCGGTAGGCGGAATACGAAAACGATATTTTTTCGGGATCTTTCGCGTAGCCGCGTTCAAAATGCATTATTTCTCTTTCGGTACGCGTCTGGAATTTTTCGGTTAATTCCTCGCCAGCGTCGAAAGAACGGCGCAAAAACTTTCAGGACGGATTTCCAATTCAGAATCCCGGGAATAATAAAAATATCGCGCTGCGTCCTTTTCGCTTAGCATACCCTCCCCCCCTCTGGATGTATGAATGCATTCGGGACTGTCGAAAAAGAAACGATGATATATCGCGAGGATGTTTCGACGCGATACACTTCATTTCAACCTTCGTGGCCCGTTTTTAAGGGGTCTTTCTACTTTGTGGGATTAAAAAAATTGTTATTTTGTCAATTGGAATTTTTCGAAAATAATAAAAATGCGTTTGTTTTCAAGTAAATACAAAATTTGGTTAGATTTGTTTGTTCCAAAGACGATCACATACTGAAGGATCCTGTGACGTCGCCTTTCATGCTCGCCACCAGAGGGATCGCGCTCTCACAAGCGCTCGACCGACCCCTCGGTTGCTATATACAGGGTGTTCGGCCACCTCTAGCAAAAATTTTAATGAGCGATAGTAGAGGCCAAAATAAGACAAAAATCAAAAATACTAATTTGTTGATGGAAGCTTCGTTAAAAAGTTATTAACAATTAAATTCAAAAATTTCAAATCGTTCTGGAAAAATTATTTTCGGTTGCGGGGGTCAACTACAATCATTTTTGGTGAGTACACATACCTCCGAAATCCTATCTACTTTCGAGAAAAAAAATCGAGTAGGTGCTGAAATTTTTCGGCGAAAAAAAATTTTTCAAATCGTTCTAAAAAAATTATTTTCGGTTGCGGGGATCAATTACAATCATTTTTTATCATTACACATACCTCCGAAATCGTACGCACTTTCGAGAAAAAAATTCCTTACTGAAAATCCAATTAGGTGCCTAAATTTTTCAACGGAGAAAAAAAATTGCAAATCGTTGTGGAAAAATTATTTTTGGTTGCGGGGGTCAATTACAATCAGTTTTTGTCATTAGACATACCCACGAAATCCTGCCCACTTTCGAGAAAAAAAATAGAGAAGGTGTGAAATTATTCGAGAAAATTAAAAAATTGCAAATCGTTGTGGAAAAATTATTTTCGGTTGTAGGGTTCAATTACAGTCATTTTTGGTGAATAGACATACCCCCGAAATCTTGCGCATTTTCGAGAAAAAAATTCAGTAAGGGCGGCACTTTAAACGTTAATAACTTTTTAACGAAGCTTCCATCAACAAATTGGTATTCTTGATTTTTGTCTTATTTTGGCCTCTACTATCGCTCATTAAAATTTTTGCTAGAGGTGGCCGAACACCCTGTATACATTCCTCGACCGACTTCCCAATATCTCACTTGTCTAAGGCAAGGTTTGCTAGAAAAGCCTTTACTGATGAGTCCACTAGCAGATCCGGACGAAACGTGCCCCCTCCTTTTTCCTTTTCTGTCCTCCTACGAATCTCACGATCGAGTTCCTAACTTCAGCCAGTAGCGCCACAATCCCATAATTTCCATTAAACGCTCATGATACTGTGACGACAATCCAAGGTTTTGGTTCTTTCAACGTCACGGGGTCGTCAAAGAATCCTATTTCATTCCTAATTTAAGTCACTCGGTAATACTTCGACGAAACCACAATTGTTATTTTTCGAAAATAATAAAAATGCGTTGTCTTCAGATAATTACTTTGCTTAGATTTATTTTGTCCAAAAACGATCACAAACTGGGGGATCGAAATTTTATTAGGCTGTATGATTCGTTGTTTGACAAATTTCAGTCTCTAAATAATTTTATGGGTTAGGTCTGGGTTAAGAGGCCTTTCTACCTTGTGGGATTTAAAAAATCAAATTTTTTTTTGTTGTGTTTTCTTTCAGTATGTAGTCTCGAAAATATATCTACCAAATATTAAATTGAAATTCGGAAAACTAACGAAGTTATAGCTTGCTGAAATGTACCACGCGCAGGTATAACAACTGGACGTAAAACTAAGTCGCCTTTCTACTTTGTGGGATTAAAAAAATTGAATTTTTTTTGCATTATCTTTCAGTATGTAGTCTCGAAAAAATATCTACCAAATGTTAAATTGAAATTCGGAAAACTAACGAAGTTATAGCTTGCTGAAATGTACCACGCGCAGGTATAACAACTGGACGTGAAACTTTAAAGCTGTTTTTCTCGAAACTACATTTATCAGCACTGCGTATGTGATAACAAAAAAGCTATTCAAGATATCAACATGAAATTTATACAGTATTTTTAGAACTGGTCTCCCTATAGCATGAACTAGGATAATTGCGATATATGCAATACTTTTTCTTTTATTAACAAAAAAGCATCCGAATATATGAAAATATTCAGTATCTTTTCGTAAAATAGCTGCCATTTTGCTATTTTTTGTTTTTTTGAAGAGAT